ATGAATAAATAATTATTATTACAGGAATCAATATATTTTAAATGCAATTTATTAGCTGAACCAAATGTATTCAACATTAGCCTATATAATACAGTATTGCATTACTATAGGATAGAATAAGGGGAAAGTAATAGCACAAATTGTTTTTGCACAATGAACTCACAGCCTATCGTACCCTTTTGCACGCTCAAGTTCGTGATTTCCATGGTTATTTCAAATTTAGGCTAGGCGCGCAGGGTGCAAGTTCAACGCGGTAAACGCGCTCGTTTTTTTCCAAGCGCGTCCGCACCGCATCAAGATAAAAACATATTCATACCCTAGTCATATAATAGTGTCACTAACATTACATTAGCTCTGGCTAATGGCACTGTTACAGTAAAAACATAACGGAACACTTACCTCAGCCGCAGGTGATCCACTTGTCCTGTCTGTGCTATCGATGGGATGGCCGTATCCTTCAGCACATTATGGTCCGTGTGGCAAATTCCATTTTTCAGAATAGTCGTCCATTGAAATGTACCGAGCAAACATAATGTCCCTTGATAATCTTAGGTGTGTTTGGATAAATATCCAGAGTAAGTTAGCCATTTCTTCATCCAGTCAGCGTTTTTAGTTGGAATTCTGTGAAACATGGTATTACCTCCCCTGTTTACAGTCGCAGCTATTTACAATAGAGCGAAAACCCATGACTCTAAACTACGCTTTTACTATTTATAAATTGCTGACTCTGTCACCCAAACACTGAACGAACTATCCGCTCCTCACCACCGCGTGTCTCAGGTGATGCGGTTCACTCCGCCAAAGTAGCAGTGCTTCGCCTTCTAAGAATAGTTCCCAGGTTTTATACGGTTAAAAGATGTCTGTGTCTCATTTGACTTTGTTATTTGTACATTATGTGACTATACAAATCACAACATGTAAATAGGAAAATGTTTGCGTTATTTTGCCACTCATTTGGATTAGTATGAAAGCTGCAACCAGTCACATCCAGTCTTTGTGCTAAGCTAGGCTAGCGGTGGGTGCGCCAAACAGACTTATAGCACGCACGGAGATGAAAAAGGTATGTATGGACTTATCTAACTCTGGGGGGTAAGGTGAATAGGCTAAAGTCCCCAAAAGTCGGAGTGTTCCTTTAAACAAAATCAATGTGTGGGTGCAGTGGCAGCTGTAATTGCTGCTCTTGCTGCTGACGCGCCAGTCTCTCCTGGCGCCCTCCGCTCCTGTCCGCCGAAAGTGCAAACCACCGAATTGCGTGCCTCCAGATTTCTGCTTCTGTTGCAGTTGTTGTCAGTGCACATTTGCGCACTGCACCTGGAAAACAGCATTACTGATTAGCAGGGTTGTGCTTGTGCAGTGTTGGGAGTAACGCGCTACAAAAGTAATACATTATAGTAACATTAATTTTGCTGTAACGCAGTAGTGTAAGGCATTACTAATCGATTTTCAGTAATATTTTACTCGTTAAAGGTGCCCTGTAATGTGAAATTGAATTTATGTTGGCATAGTTAAATAACAAGAGTTCAGTAGGCTACATGGACATACAGTGAGTCTCAAACATCATTATTTTCTGCTTCTTACTTCGTTTTTGAAAAACACCCCTGAAAAACAGGCGAATCTCCACATAATACCGACTCTGACGTAAAAGTCAGGATCATTAATATGTATGACTCCAAATATTTGCATGCCAGCCCATGTTCAGTGACAGACGAGACGGAGCTGCGCAGTCGAAGCATGGCCGTTGAGTGTTCGGATGTACACGTGAACACAAAAGTATTTTTAGTTCCTTCGTCCGAGCCTCTGAAACAATGGATTAATTTTATTTTCTATTTCTTTTACTTAACTCTTTTACTAACTCTTTGAAACTTCTTAAAACAAACCGTGTCAAAATATATAAAAATAAATTATTTGCTAAAATAATGACAAAGCTCAGAAATCAGAAACAAAATAAGAGCAAGGGTTCAATAATGACAATTATTGTTTAAAAATATTATTATTTCTCAACTTTCTCAACGTGTAACTGTCCTCAAAATCTTTTTTGTTATTATTATTGTAACAGACTTTTTTGGGTTGTAAATGACATAATCCAACAAAGTCTGTTAACACCGGTAATGATGTACTAGCGCTCGTTGTATGTGTGTATGCAATGTATTTTTCCCCTCGGGGCTTGCCGTAGATGGGTCATGCGCACTTGGTATGGTCGCGGGATTTTGGAGATCTGATGTGTGGTATAATAATAAAGTGAAGAAGAGTTCAAACTGCTGTGTTTATTATTTATTCAAACTGCAAACAAAGGTATGTGATATTATAAGTAACATTATGGAGCTAATAACAAAAATAACACTGTCAGATTAGATAAATCATGTAGGTTCCAGTTTAAAGCTGGTGCGTTTCTAGTGTAATGTTAACTTCTCTCTACCAATCAGATGCTCCGGTGATGAGTGAAATATATGAAGCGAATGGTGATTATTCAAACATGAAATGGGAAGGTTTAATGGTTTAACCTAACTATGACTCTGGGTTTGACTTGCTGGCAAAACTGTATATCTTCTTTGTCGCGCTTTAAAAATAAAAGTTCCAAATGTACAGTTTTTGTTCCTGTGGTAGGTTAGGTATGGATTTTTTTGGGTGGGACACATGCCGCATTTTTCCATATTGAGGGGGACACGTCCCCGGTTCCTACGCCAGTGTCTGACCTCATAGAAATTATCTATGCAGAAAAAAAATTTGGATCCAAAATGAGTTAATTAGTTTGCCTGGACTGTGTTTTATTCTCCATTTTTACAAAAAAGCACGGCCTGCTGGGAAATCTGACGAATCATTTTATTTCTCATCGTGACGTTTTCTGATATAACCTACGTCCTCGAATGTTATTGCTAGGTTTGTCTTTCTGAGAGGTGGCACCGTTAATGCACCGTTAAGTTTGCCAACTGCCATTAAAACACAAAAATAAGTTTTTCTGAGAGTGTCTAACTTAATTGTTAACAGCCAAGCAACTGCAATGTTCAGCAATCCAAATAGTGGTGCTTAAAAATGAAAAAGATAAGCTGCAGGTTGTGGCATCAGTGATTGACACTGCTAGATGATGGCTAGCTGGGAGCATACAAATCAAGCGAGTGTTTAAAATGGTCGGTCAAGGTGTAAAATTAAGCTCATAATGGTGTCATTTTCACGAATGTGTGCCTGCAATTATCAGCGCTTTAACGGCATAGCGGCTAAAGCTAAGACCAAATGGCCGAGACCAAAACCGGGGACTCCCAAAATTTTGGAAAAAACGGGGACATTTTTAGTTTGACTGTAAATCTGATTAAAATACATCTTCAAAAAAAAAAAAAAAAAAAAAAAACAGGGACAGGTAACAGTTTTTCTGAATTTTCCCGGAGGCAACCAAAATGACAACCGCGGGGACGTCTGGGCATCCTAAGACTAACTAATTACCTCTTAAAATTCAGCACATTAACGCAAATATATGCCATTAAAAAGTTGGTTTGGTTATCCTAATCGGGTCTATTCTGTGCTACACCCTATTTGTATAGCGCAGTAGGGCTATAGCAGATGCGTCTTTAACACACTTTGATTCGCAAATACTATAACAAGCCTGTAACTGCTATCTATAAAGCAAACAGCATTTCACTTGCACTTTTAAGTAATACAGTAAATTAGAATAAACACATACAAATAGATGTACATAATAAACACATAGAATAAACACATAAAAACTTACGTGTGGTAGCCTAGCAGGACAGTTAAATCTGCGTTGAGCTTGGTTTGATGATGATATCTTTTTTTTTTTTTTTTTGGGCGCTTCTGGCTGAAGTCCGTAGTACGGATGTGGACCGTATCTGCAAGACGACAGTCAAGCGAGACCCAACGTTCACTTGGCGCTGTCGTGAAACGGACCTAAAACGGAGCTCAAACTGCTGTGCTGTAACGGACCAGCATCACAAAATTTTGCTGTAGGCCTATAGTTTTTAAACACTAATAATATTGCTCAGCTTAATGACAATACATTTATCTCATGCTCTAGATAGAAAAAAATATGCAGACAACCATGTTGTTTTGAAAATGTTTATTGCACGGAGTTCTTACAGTTTGAGAAAAGTATTTCGGATGTGGTCCACATCAGGTAATCTCTGTCAAAACAGTGTTGGCTCAAATTCGTTTTGCAGATATGGGCCAGAACAGTTTTTAGCCCTTTTTAAAATGCAGTCGGCTCAGATATGTATCACAGATTCGGGCCACACCAGTGTGAAAACAGTATCGGCTCAGATTCATATTGCAGTTCTGGACCAAATCAGTGTCAGACACAGCTTGTCTTTCGGTTACATATCGGAAAAGTGATCTGGGCCAGATCTGTAAAATGGTAAAAATACTGAACTGATGGCAGTTAGAATGTTTAAGCTGAAACTTATATCTGGTACGGATCTGGTTCACAATCAGAAAACGTCTCTAAGATAGAAACGGAGGCAAGGGGCTTAAAACGGATCCGGGCCAAATGTAATTGCTATCTGGGTTGTAGTAAATGCAAAAGCACCAAACCAACACTAAAAACACACACAAAAAAATTATTTTGCACAGGCATTTTGCACTAGTTTACTAAATCCCATATCAACCTCAACCACTTGAACAATACAAGGAGAGACAAGAAACTGCACTTTAAATGCTTTCAATTTAACAATATACAATTGCATGAATTATTCTTGAATTAAACAGTGGGGAGAGAGTGGGGAGAACATTAAAAATATACCTTTTAAAAATGTATGTTAAATCCACTACTTTTTTTAAACATAATTGTTCTATTCTTCACCCCTTCTTGAACTGCCACCTTAACGTGGTGGAGGGGTTTGAGTGCCCGAATGACCCTAGGAGCTATGTTGTCTGGGGCTATATGCCTTATATAGGGTCTCCCAAGGCAAACAGGTCCTAGGCGACGGGTCTGACTAAGAGCGGTTCAAAAACCCCTTATGACGGAAGTACATACAAGGACCGTGACGTCGCCCGGTATGGCGCAGCCGGGGCCCCACCCTGGAGCCAGGCCCGGGGATGGGGCTCGTATGCGAGCGCCTGGTGGCCGGGCCTCTCCGCACGGGGTCCGGCCGGGCTCAGCCCGAAGAAGCGACGTGGGACCGTCTTCCCGTGGGCTCACCACCTGCAGGAGGAGCCGTAAGGGGCCGGTGCAGAGAGGATTGGGCGGCAGTCGAAGGCAGGGGCCACGGCGACCCGATCCCTGGACACGGAATCTAGCCTTAGGGACGTGGAACGTCACCTCACAGGCGGGGAAGGAGCCCGAGATTGTGCGTGAGGTTGAGAGGTTCCGACTAGAGATAGTCGGGATCACCTCTACGCATGGCTTGGGCTCTGGAACCTTACTCCTTGAGAGAGGATGGACTCTTCACCACTCTGGAGTTGCCCATGGTGAGAGGCGGCGGGCTGGTGTGGGTTTGCTTATAGCCCCCCAGCTCAGCCGCCATGTGTTGGAGTTTACCCCGGTGAACGAGAGGGTCGTTTCTCTGCGCCTACGGGTCGGGGATAGGTCTCTCACTGTCGTTTGTGCCTACGGGCCAAACGGCAGTGCAGAGTACCCGGCCTTCTTGGAGTCTCTGGGAGGGGTGCTGGAAAGTGCCCCGACTGGGGACTCCGTTGTTCTACTGGGGGACTTCAACGCTCACGTGGGTAATGACAGTGACACCTGGAGGGGTGTGATTGGGAGGAATGGCCCCCCCGACCTGAACCCGAGTGGTGTTCAGTTATTGGACTTCTGTGCTAGTTACAGTTTGTCCATAACGTACACCATGTTCAAGCATAAGGGTGTCCACCAGTGCACATGGCACCAGGACACCCTAGGTCGTAGGTCGATGATCGACTTTGTGGTCGTTTCATCTGACCTGCGGCCGTATGTCTTGGACACTCGGGTAAAGAGAGGGGGGGAGCTGTCAACTGATCACCACCTGGTGGTGAGTTGGATCCGATGGCGGGGGAGGAGGCTGGACGGACTCTGCAGACCCAAGCATACTGTAAAGGCCAATTTATACTTCTGCGTCGAGGGTACGCCGTAGTGTACGGCGTAAGCTACGCACGTAGCCGACGCCGTCGTGAGCATTTATACTTCTGCGTTTAGGTCTGCGTTGCTCTGCAGTACAGCGCCGAAACGCTAGTTGGCGATGGAGGGTTTTAATGTCCCACTGTGTTTAGATTCCTCGCGGCTGTTTTGAGTTTAGGTTACTACAAGCAATGGCGACTGAAAGAGAGCGGATTATGTTGGAGTTGGAGCTTATCGAGGTTGAAAAGCAGTTAATTTTAGTGAAACTACTGAAACTAAAATGCAGAAACGAGAGAAGACGGCGGAGGAGATGGTACGTGCAGCCCGTGAACCGGTCGAGGCAGAAGGAGGGTGAATTTTCTGTGCTTGTCCGGCCACTGAGAGACATGGACGAGGAAATGCACTTCAGATATTTCCGAATGTCGGCCGGTAGATTCGATGATTTGGTTCGTCGTGTGCAGCCATTTATCGTACATCAGTGTATGCACAGTATGCCTGTAGACATTACGCAGAGACTGGCAATCACCCTTCGTATTTTAGCTTCAGGTGGAAGCCAACAGGCTGTAGCAGCTAGCTACAAACTGTCGTCAAGCACAGTGTCTTCCACACTGCAGCCAGAGTTTCTTCCCTGTCCTTCAATCGCCCAATGGGAAAATATTACTGCTGATTTTTGGAGACTGTGGAACTTTCCGAACTGTGTTGGCAGCGTCGACGGTCAACATAAAAGCACCACCGCACGCCGGGAGCGACTACTACAACTACAAGGGCGCACACTCCATTGTTCTGATGGCTACTTGTGACGCCAGGTATCGCTTCACCATGGTGGATGTGGGGGGATACGGACGGGAAAGTGATGGTGGTGTCTTCAAGGAGAGCCGATTTGGTTCTAGGCTTCTTGAATGTAAACTGAACCTGCCCCCACCAGCCAATCTTCCTGGAACAGGAGTCAAAATCCCACATGTGATAGTTGGTGATGCTGCATTCCCCCTACACAACAACCTCATGCGTCCCTTTCCAGGTATGTCACAAACTAAATGTATTTAATGTGCTTTGTACATTAAATAATACTTCGTATTTAATTAATAAATTAATATTTAATAAATTTAATACTTTGTGTACATTCATATATGTATATATTCCTGATCACAGGTGTATTATTAATTATACAATTAATTCTGTTTTGTTCTGCTACATAGGGATGAACCTGCCCATGGATAAGCAGACATACAATTACCGTCACTCCAGAGCCAGACGTGTGATTGAGAATGCATTTGGCATTATGGTTGCAAGGTGGCGAATCCTCGGGCGACCTCTGGAATGTCTGCCAGACAAAGCAGTTGACATCGTAAAAGCTTGTTCTGTTTTACACAACTTCCTTGCCTACACAGATGAGGTCACCACACCTGTTAGCAGATACATCCCTGCTAATTTCACAGACACTGACACTGCAGGGTCACCTCAGCAAGGGGAGTGGCGCAGAGTGGTGTCAGGGGACACAAATCTTTTGGAGCCACTTGATCCACGTCACCTTTCAAGGGCCCGCTCCACCCGAGCTGCAGTTGGTGTGCGGAATGACCTGATGGCCTTCTTTCAGTCACCCCACGGAATTGTGCCATGGCAGAACAACATAGTGTGCCGTGGTCAACTTGATCTGTAAATTGTACTGGTGTAAAATATATGCACCTATAAATGACATGGAACCTTTTAAATAAATACCAGTTTTAAACTCAAGTTGTTGTACAGTGTTGTTCTACTATCGTTTACAATAACCTGCACTATACAAACTGTATACAAGATTGTGCAACATGTAAAGATGCAATGGTCTAAAACTATTTATATTATAAATAGATGCAAAAGAGTAAACAAACACACAAATGGGCAAACTATAATTTTATCTTGATTTACAGTAACCTGCGCAATACAATGTGCAAACAGCATGAACAGACTTTTTTAAATAAAAAGTGCAAACTATATACACAGTAGTGCAACTTATTAAGGTGCAATGATCTTCAATTATTAACAATACAAATAGAAACACGAGAAAACACAAAACGTGAAAACTATAACCTGCAAAAATTGGTGCAAAGACACAATATGAAGTGCTAACTATATACAAAAATATTCAAATGATATTTGTTAATAACATTTGAATATTTTTTACGCAAAGAAGCTAAATTGTGTGTTGTGGTGAACTTGATCTGTAAATCGTACTGGTGTAAAATATATGCACCTATAAATGACATGGAACCTTGTTAATAAATAGCAGTATTAAACTCAAGTTGTTGTACAGTGTTCTACTATCGTTTACAATAACCTGCACTATAAAATGTGCAAACAGCAAAAATATGTAATTTTTTAGGGCAAACTATGTTGTAATGTATGTAAGATTGTGCAACATGTTAAGGTGCAATGGTCTAAAATTATTTATATTATAAATACATGAAAAAGAGTAAACACACACAAATGGGCAAACTATACTTTTATCTTTATTTACAGTAACCTGCACAACACAATGTGCAAACAGCAGGAACAGACTTTTTTAAAAATAAAAAGTGCAAACTATATACACAGTAGTGCAACTTAAGGTGCAATAATCTTCAGTTATTAATAGATAGAAATAGAAATAAAAACAAATAGAAACACAAGAGAAAACACACTCAGGTGTAAACTATAACCTGCATAAATTGGTGCAAACAGATACAATATAATAAAGTGCTAACTATGTACAAAAATGTGCAAATGATATAAACACAAACAGGTGCAAATAAGCTAAATATGAATATATGCAAAAGTGCAAACTATTCTCAAATGTACTTAAATTACTAAAATATTCAAACTATATACAGATAGTGCAGACAATTAAAAGGTACAATCTAGTAGAAGTAAGCACAATTGTCTATTTCTTCTGCTGCCACTCAAACAGGACCTTGGACACGTCAAACATTGCATGTGCCCTGTGCTCCTCAGGCACCCTTCGCAGCATATCAGCCACAGTGTTCCCAAACCGGTCGCTCTCGTCGTTTTCTTTACTTAGTCTTTGTTGCAGCTCCACCCGCCGTTCCTCCAACTGAGCCTCCAACCGAGCAACCTGCATTTGGATCCAGTCATCTTGTTCCTTCCTCTTCCTTTTTTGTGCCATCCTTGGACTGGGGGTCATCGGTGATGGCTGGGGGGTCATCGGTGATGGCTGGGGGGTCATCGGTGATGGCTGGGGGGACGGAAGAGATGGCTGAAAGGACAGTGGACTTGGCTGGCGATGGGGGCTACAACTTCGTAGTTGCTCATCATCGTTGACTGGAGGTATTATAACAGCCGAACCAGTGGAGTTTGAGCTTGAATCGCTCCCATCCTGTGATTATGAAAGAAATAGCAAATAGTATTATATATATATAAGCTGATGCATTGCATAATGTTTGCATTATCTGTAAGCCAGATATAACAATCTATTACATATAATAAAAATACAACCCATTACATATAATTACAACCTTTTATTTTTTTTGCAGAGACATTATTTTTGTACAAATCAATACTCCATTAGCATTGCTAGTTAAGTTAGCTAACCTAAACATAACAGAGGTTCACAAAGGACATGCATTTTATTTACCTTATCGTCAAAGTTTGACTCCGTAAGCCGGTGTTTCACATGAGGTGCCAGCCAAGACAGGAACAAATAAAACGCCGGGACTTTTTTTCCTCCTGGATCCCCGCTCTTTGTGGCGAGTTTTTTACGGAGGCGAACGTACTTGTCTCGAGTGTTCTTCCATCTCTTCATACAATCCGCTACATCCAACCCGACGTTGGAGGAAATCTCTCTCCACGAATTCGCTGCCATCTGGCAATCTTTGTATTCGGCAGAAGACGAGTCATACAGATGGCTGTATTTCCTCACCTCTTCAACCAAACGCTCGGTCACTTGGTCCATTTCCATGTTTCTTTCGCTGTACTCAGAATTTAAAAATGGCGGGCGGTGCAAAAGAACACGCCGGAAATGCGTGGGAGGAAACGCGATGCTACCAAGCCGACCAATCACAGATCTTGCGGTCCGCGTCATCGCGACGTGTAGTTACATTTTTGAGGAGGTGCGCGTCAGGTTACGGCGAAGGGTACGGCGAAGGGTACGCGTCTGTGCGTATGCTACGCCGTACCTACTGCGCGCACCCGACGCAGAAGTATAAATTGGCCTTAAGGGTTTGCTGGGAACGTTTGGCCGAATCTCCTGTCAGAAAGATCTTCAACTCTCACCTCCGGCAGAGCTACGACCAGATCCCGAGGGAGGCTGGAGATATTGAGTCTGAGTGGACCATGTTCTCCACCTCCATTGTCGAAGCGGCTGCTCGGAGCTGTGGCCATAAGGTCTCCGGTGCCTGTCGAGACGGCAATCCTCTACCCCGGTGGTGGACACCGGAAGTAAAGGATGCCGTCAAGCTGAAGAAGGAGTCCTATCGAGCCTGGTTGGCTCGTGGGACTCCGGAGGCAGCTGACAGGTACCGGCAGGCCAAGCGGACAGCGGCACGGGTGGTCGTGGAGGCAAAAACTCGGGCCTGGGAGGAGTTCGGTGAGGCCATGGAGAAGGACTATCGGCTGGCCTCGAAGAGATTCTGGCAAACTGTACGGTGCCTCAAGAGAGGGAAACAGTCCCCTACCAATGCTGTTTACAGTAGGGGTGGGCGGCTGTTGACCTCGACTGGGGATGTCGTCGGACGGTGGAAGGAATACTTCGAGGACCTCCTCAATCCCGCCTTCCATTGAGGAAGCAGAGGCTGAGGGCTCAGGGGTGGACTCGTACATCACCCTAGCTGAGGTCACCGAGGTAGTCAAGAAACTCCTCGGTGGCAAGGCACCGGGGGTGGATGAGATCCGCCCCGAATACCTCAAGTCTCTGGATGCTGTGGGGCTGTCTTGGTTGACACGCCACTGCAGCATCGCGTGGCGGTCGGGGACAGTGCCTCTGGGATGGCAGACCGTGGTGGTGGTTCCTCTTTTTAAGAAGGGGGACCGGAGGGTGTGTTCCAACTATAGGGGGATCACACTTCTCAGCCTCCCTGGGAAAGTCTATGCCAGGGTACTGGAGAGGAGAATACGGCCGATAGTGGAACCTCGGATTCAGGAGGAACAGTGCGGTTTTCGTCCTGGCCGTGGAACACTGGACCAACTCTCTACTCTCTACAGTTGCCCAACCAGTCCACATGTGTTTTGTGGATTTGGAGAAGGCATTCGACTGTGTCCCCCGAGGCGGCCTGTGGAGGGTGCTCCGGGAATATGGGGTCCGGGGTCCTTTGCTAAGGGCTGTCCGGTCCCTGTATGACCGAAGCAGGAGCTTGGTTCGCATTGCCGGTAGTAAGTCAGACTTCTTCCCGGTGCATGTTGGACTCCGGCAGGGCTGCCCTTTGTCGCCAGTTCTGTTCATAATTTTTATGGACAGAATTTCTAGGCGCAGCCAGGGGCCGGAGGGTGTCAGGTTTGGGGACCACACGATTTCGTCTCTGCTCTTCGCGGCTCTTCGTGTTGGCCCCTTCATACCAGGACCTTCAACATGCACTGGGACGGTTTGCAGCCGAGTGTGAAGCGGCTGGGATGAAATAAGCTCTCCAAATCCGAGGCCATGGTCCTCAGCCGGAAAAGGGTGGCTTGCCCACTTCAGGTTGGTGGAGAGATCTTCTTCAAGTGGAGGAGTTTAAGTATCTTGCGGTTTTGTTCACGAGTGAGGGAAGGATGGAACGGGAGATTGACAGACGGATCGGTGCAGCTTCAGCAGTAATCGGTCGATGTACCGGTCTGTTGTGGTGAAGAAGAAGCTGAGCCGTAAGGCAAAAGCTCTCGATTTACCGGTCAATCTACGTTCCTACTCTCACCTATGGTCATGAGCTTTGGGTCATGACCGAAGGACAAGATCCCGGATACAGGCGGCTGAAATGAGCTTTCTTCGCAGGGTGGCTGGGCGATCCTTAGAGATAGGGTGAGAAGCTCGTCACTCGGGAGGAGCTCAGAGTAGAGGCTGCTCCTCCACATCGAGAGGGGTCAGCTGAGGTGGCTCGGGCATCTGTTCCGGATGCGTCCTGGACGCCTTCCTGGGGAGGTGTTCCGGGCACGTCCCACTGGGCGGAGGCCCCGGGGAAGACCTAGGACACGCTGGAGAGACTATGTCTCCCGGCTGGCCTGGGAACTCCTCAGTGTCCTCCCAGAAGAGCTGGAGGAAGTGTCTAGGGAGAGGGAAGTCTGGGCATCTCTGCTTAGACTGCTGCCCCCGCGACCCGGCCCCGGATGAGCGGAAGAAGATGGTATGGTATGTTCTATTCTATGCAGTATTATAATGCAATTACATC